TTCTCAATCACTTAAGTTAACATCACGGGAATATGAACGTAAGTTGTGACTCTCAGTAGATCTTTGCAAACAAATGAGGAAAATGAAGCAAGTAGATTTGCACAGACACACCTCCGAATGCATGAAGAGCAATAATTAAAGATGCCATTGAGCTATCTAGGGATGAGAATCAGCATTACTATAACTATTTGGCAACTTGTTCGCACATCCACCACTTTTATTTGCAGAGCCAATGTAATGGAATATTTATCGAATGTGTCTAGCGCTGAGGAAAAGCGGTAGAGAGCGATTGAAAGAAGAATAGAATTCTCAATGCGGTCATTAGCTTAGTTACCGATGCTAGCAATGTTCGCAGCACTACTAAACGCGATTCTTTGAATCACTGGACAGCGAATGCAAATAGGGAATTAGAGAGGGCAGAATGAAGAAGATTGATCAAAAATTCTTCATAGAAATGCACTTCTGTTGTAAAATATGTGAATGTGATGTGAATTTATTTCCTCAGCATTGCCTTGTTACAAACATTGCCTTTCTTAAGGGGAAATCATTGAAGGAATGAACTGATTAGCGTATTTCTAACTTTCAAAGTTACATCTGTTTTCCTGTGGCCGCTTTTGAGTGACTATTACTACTAGAACCAAAGCGCAAAATCAGAAGAGCGAAAGCAAACGTTACGATGACGGTGTAGTTTAATAAATAATACCGGACACCGGCAAAAATGCTTCATGCTTCTCGGGACATTTGGAATCACAATATCTTGCATAATTCACTTAGGTGATTGAAAGTAAACATTTGAAGCTGAAGTTTCTTCTGCTGTATATAAATTGAAGATTAACTTTGCCAAGATGCTTGTACGGTGTGTTAGCCGAAGAATTCAAAAGTATAAGTGACATGGGTAATAGAAACGAAAACAATGAAATTGTTAGCATTGGAAAAATCAGAAGATGGCAATATAATAAGAGGCACCCCGAATTGAAAAGGCAAATTGCAATAACGTGAAATTTGCCATTTAAGGAAAGAAGCTATGCTAATGAAAAGCAAACACTGAAATTGCAACTAAAGGATGATAAAATGTGAAAATGAGTGAAAGTGTACGTAATGGATGAGCAGATCATTATTAGTCGAAGAGCTCTAATTCCAAGCTAAAACAATCAGAGTTCTCATGCAAAACACATCTGTTGAAATTACGAAGAAGCGTGAGGCAGCTGCTTGACTGGAAGAGTGGCTGCATAGCTGACCAACGAATGGACAACGCTTATCAGGCCCCCGAGTTGTCGCTTGATCCTCAAGCCGATAACAGGGGTCGAAGCATCATCGGAGCGCTGTGTATGAGACATTCGGCGATCGCAAGAATCATAACATCGTTTCCGGTAACTGTTCGCTTGACACAAACAGATACAGTTATTTGGAATAGTTACGAATTATTTGTGCGCCACAAATTTTTTGATCATCGCTAATTTTGCAGAAGCAACGTATTAGGATAGTAATAGTGAGTGAGAAGAGCCGATGCTCGCAGTGTTGTCATTATAAAGTTAGACGATGTCAAATGAAGCGAATTCCCATTTTGTCGTCGCTTGCTCTGGCTGTCACTCAACTTTTCTATTGCCCAGTTTGTGTCAAACGCTGTGCGCGCTCAAGCGAGCCACTCACAGCATACAATTGGATATACGGTAATGTTAATTGCCATTTTGTCGAGTGCCATCGTAGACTATGCCCACGCGAAGCAAATTTCTGAGGAAAGAGCGGGGAGCACGAGGAGTGCCATACGCGCCGGGCACATGTATATGTTTCACAAAAGAGGGTAATTTATTAGGATCGGTATCGCATAGTGCAAGTCGCGCTAGAACAAAAGAGCAAGGACAATGGCAATACTGTAGCGCGCGAAGAGTCTAATAAATAGTCGCAACCACTACGAATCGTTGAATCGCACGCCGTTGATTCA